ATATATATTGCCAAACATAATTGGCAAAAATATTAAGAAAACCAAGGAAATACAATGTTCAGGATTGTAAAAGGAGGGAGGTCTGTGAGCCTGGAGTGTAAATTGTTACAACCATTATGTAGAACAATATAAAAAAACATAAAATGGTCATAGCCTGTAAAACAACAATTCTACATTCAGCAACTTAAGGAACTTGGACAAGATATAAAGACTATAAAGATGTGTGTAAGGATGCTTATCAAATTGTTGTTTGTGTAGCAGAGTCCCAAATGCTTCTAACACCGAATTTGGATGTTCAGAAAAAAATGCAGCTCTTCTGTTTTATTATAACTTGTGACTTTCCAAGTTTGCTTCCCACCTGCTTGTTATTGGAAAAAATTTAAGTTTATGTCCAATCCAATTTAAATCTCAGAGTAAGCTGATAAACTAAACGATCACTTCAGGTTTGATAGAATAATGGTCTGCTGACATGTGGGAGTGTGGGACAAAGAGTGTGTGGTTTATACTATGCTCTGGAGTGTAATTGGACCCCTCATCTCAGCTTGCAAGTGTGACCTGGCACCCACTGGTGTCTGCAGGGATGTCACATATCCTCTTGTGCCTTGTTGTCTCTTGTCCCTCTCCTTCTCCTCCCACCCCTTTGCCTCTAGTGCAGTCTTTTAGTTTGAGCAGTGCTGTCGGTAGCCTCTGTCAGGCCTTTCATCTAGCTTTGGTGTAGTCTTAACCAAACTCACTTTGTCACGCAACAAGCCAAGTGTCTGGCAGCTCACTGCATCTCACCTCAGTATCAATTAGAGTACCACGTCAGTCTTTCTTTCTCTTTGCATTTCCACGTAAATTTCTAACCTCCTGCAGTTCATCAGCTCAGGCCCAAAGACTGGGAGGCATCCTTGAAGTCTCATTCTCTTCCCCATGCCTGATCCACACCATGACCAAATCCCGCTGGCTTTCCCTTCACAATATCTCCAGAATCTGACACATCCTGCAACTCTTGCTCCCCAACCCAGTCCAAACAAAATCGTCTCTCACCTGGATTTTGGTAAACCCCTCTGACTGGTCTCCCTGCTTCTGTCCTCGTTCCCCTACATTCTCAACATAGCAGCTGAGATGACCCTTTGAAAACAGCTATTAAGTTATGTTTCTTCTGTGTTCCAAACCTTTTACTGGTTCCTTTATTGCCTCCAGGAAGAGCCCAAATTCTTTCAATGGCCTGCAAGGCCCTATTCTGCCCCTTGCTGACTCTGGTTTCTTTGCTATTACTTGAACATACCAAGGGTGCTCTCTTTCCAGCACCTATGCCCTGCTGCACCTTCTGCCTGAAACACCTGCTGTTGCTGTTGGAATAATCTGAATCCTCCCACTAGCACGGGTGTTCCACAAGAGCCAGGATTAGTGTCTGTTTTGTTACCTGCCTGGAATAGTGCCAGGTTCATAGTAGGTGTTCAATAAGTGTTAACCGAGTGAATAATTTCAAACTCAGAGCAGTACGTTACTGTACAAAACAACATGAGAGCCCAGCCTGTGTGGCTCAGTGGTTGAGCATTGACCCATGCACCAAGAGATCGCTGGTTCAATTCCTGGTCAGGACACATGCCTGGGTTGTGGGCTTGATCCTTAGTGGGGGCAGGGGAGGGCACGCAGGAGGCAGCCGATTAGTGTTTCTCTCTCAACAATGTTTGTATCTCATTCTCCCTCTCTCTCTAAAAATCAATAAAAACATATTTAAAAAAAAGAAAACCAACAACATGAGATTGAATTAAGCACAAGAGAAAATAATGCAATCAAGAGACAGAATGTATGAAGCTGCTACAGCTAGCATAACATGGCATATTGTTTTACAGCAAACTTTTAAAATAATTTTTTTCTTTATTGGTTTTTTAGAGAGAGGAAGGGAGAGGGAGAGAGAGATGGAAACACCGATGAGAGAGAACATCGATTGGCTGCCTCCTGCATGCCCCCCACTGGGGACTGGGCCCACAATCTGGGCATGTGTCCTGACCGGGAATTGAACCAGTGACCTCTCGGTGCATGGGTTAATGCTCAACCACTGAGCCACACCGGCCGGACCAAACATTTTTTTGTAAGTCGAAAGAGTACACTCTCTAAAGTAATGATAAAATTACAGTATAGTAAATACATAAACCAGTAACATGGCTGTTTATTATTATTATCAAATAGTATGTACTGTCCATGACTGTATATGCTACACTTTTATACAACTGGCAGTGCAGTAGGTTTGTTTACACCAGTATCCCCACAAACACATGAGTAATGCTTTGTACTAGGATGTTGGGAAAGCTACCATGTCACTAGGTGACAGGAACTTTTCAGCTCCATTATAATCTATGGGACCACTGTCGTATATGCTGTCATTGACGGAAACATGTGGCTCATGGCTGTAATTAGTAGTATACGAGGGTGGTTAAATGACTTATGTCATACCCACTGCAAGGAATACTATGCAATACTTAAAACTGTGTAGACATATATTTACTGACATGGAAAGATATCCATGATATGTCATAGTGAAAAAAAAAGTAAGCTACAAAATAGTATGCACTGCTTGCTATTTGGTAAAAGAAAAAGTATCTATGTGAACGAGTTTCTGTAACTGTGTGTGCGTCAGCATTTCTCAACCCTGTGTTCAAATCTGTTTGGGAAATTCTGCACATTATAGCCTTTCCTGGAGATTTATATTAGCCTTTAAAGGCTCATAGAAGTCCTAGAACAAAGAGACAAACAAAATGGAAACAGACTCATAGAGAACAGACTGACAGCTATCAGAGGGGAGGGAGTTTGGGGGAACCTCATAGACACAGACAACAGTATAGCGATCACTAGAGGGAAAGGCAGTGGGGGGAAGTAGAGAGCATAAAGAGGAGTTAAATGGTGATAAAAGAAAACTCGACTTGGGGTGGTGAATCCACAATACAATATATAGATGATGTATTATAGAATTGTACACCTGAAACCTATATAATTTTATTAACCAATGTCACTCCAATAAATTCAATTTTAAAAAAGAAAAAAAATGCTTAAATTTGTTTACTCAAACATCTTGAAAATCTTAATTGACCACAGAGCCCCTGTTGTCTCATAACATTTATTAAAACAGAAGTATTATTTCATAGAACAGATTTTGAGAAACTGGTACTATAAGCATAGAAAAGTTGGACAGGAGATACACCAACATGTTAACAATGTTTATTTCTGGGCTCTAGGATTATGGGTATTCTTTCTTCTTTTTTTATTTTATAAATTTTCTTATGACAAGTATGTATTATTATTTTAAAAATTATTTTTATTAATTTATTTTATTTTTTATAATTAATTAATTTATTTTTGTTACAGATGTTTCTCCTCCCCCCCACTGATTCCCTCCTCCCTCCCTGCCCTGTCCCCAGCTTTGTTACAGATGTTTCTCCTTTTTCCCCCATTGACACCCTCCTCCCGATCCACCCCCCCCCTCCAGCATTGTTGTCTGTGTCCATTGGTTACGCATACATGCATATAAATTCTGTGGTTTATCTCTTCCCTCCCCCGCCCCCTTCTGAGGTTTGTCAGTCTGTACCCTACTTCTATGTCTCTGGGTCTGTTTTGTTCATCAGTTTGTTTTGTTCATTATATTCCACAAATAAATGAGATCATGTGATATTTGTCTTTCTCTGAATGGCTTGTTTCACTTAAGATAATACTCTTGTATTATTTTTATAATCAAAACATTAATAAGACTATTCCCATTTTTCAGTCGCATGTGTTAAAGGAGAAAATAAGGCAAAATAGTTTAAGATGAAGACAATTTAATTTTTTTAAAAACTGATAGATACTTCCTCATTGTAAGCAAATAGCACACTCTGCACTCTCTCGGAATCCAGCAAAAAACTCCATGCTTGAATCCTCTAGTACTTCATTGGACTGGTTCACCTATAAGAATACTGGGAAAGGAAGAGAAAATAATCAATGCTGAACAAAGTTTAAACTCCTATATATAGTCTGAAGAGTTACTTCGTAGTTATATCACCTTTTCCAAGATAGGATTTTAGACAGCTTCTTCTCTTAATATGAACCAAATTGTTTGATACAAAACAAATACTTTGGTGACTTGTGAAAATGAAGAATGTGTTTCTGGCACAACTGGGATTAGAGGAAGAAGTAAAATTATGGTCAGATAGTTTTTTGTTCCTTTGTTTTTAAAGTATCTTAAAACATTTTTTACTGATTTTAGAGAGAGAAGAAGGGAGAGGGAGAGAGAACATCGACTGACCACCTCCTGCATGCCCCTCACTGGGGATCTGGCCCACAACCTGGGCATGTGCCCTGACCAGGAACAGAACTGGTGACTTCTTGGTGGATGGGTTGATGCTCAACCACTGAGCCATACCAGCTGGGCTTTAGAGTATATTTTTAAAAACGTACTAATCAAATAACACAGTTTGTTGTGGGAAGATCAGAAAGTGCAGATACACAAAAATAAACATGAAATTAAATAACAACAATAGTAATAATAATTAAAAGCACTTATTCACTACCACAAGAAGATAACCCATGTCTAATATTTTGATTAGGTCCTTAAAGGTTTTCCCTCTGTACATATGGCTTTTAATAACAAATTGGATTAAGCCATATATCCTCTGTTATAATCTGATTTTTTCCACATAACAATGTTTCATGAATATGATTCCACCTAATTGTCCTTCTACAACAATGTTTTGGTTACTATATAGTATTTATTATATGAATGTTCAATGCTTTCCTTAACCAAACAATGGGCATTTAACTTGTTTTTAGCTTTTCACTATTATAAACAGTATTAAAAATTCCTTATACATGTATCTTTGCATACTTGATAGTGCCAGTCGGTCCCCCTGATTGCCACTGTAGTGCCAAGAGGCTTCCTTGTTGATTTCCTCAGGTAAACAAAAGATAGCTGAAGCCTTCATTACAGCTGCAGCTAATGGTGTACAGGTGAGTACAGTGGACAAATAAAGAGGCACAGAGAAATTGCTTCTCAGCCTTTTGGCTAAGATCAAGTGTAGTATTTGTTTTTTTATCAGTTTAATATCTGATACATCCTCTATCAGAGGACAATATATTACATTTATTTTTGGAGCAGAGAGATGGAATAGGAGCTTTCTCTGTCCACTCTGCACATCAACCCGTATTGCAGTACTTCTGGGAACGATGCACCAAAAAAAAAAGGAAAGAAAGGCACAGAGAAACTGTTTGCAATGCTTGCTGTGAAATGTATTAAAAAATCAATAAATATTATTGAGAGTCTACTATGTGCTCAGTGCCAAGTGCCAATTTTTCCTATGACTTGATGTGCCCTTTATAACTCTAGACTCAAATCTTCCTTTATTTCTGCAACATTTAAAAAATTATACCTTGAAGTTTTTATTTCTGTTGTATTATTTTGCTTTTGCTCTCCAAAGAAATTATCTCCTGCATCTATAATTTTTTCTCTGCTCTTACTTTCATTAAAATCTTTATCTCTATTTAATAGTGCCGGCTTTTTTGTCCTGTATTCCAAGTCTCCTTTCATATTTCTCATCAATATCTTTTTTGTTTTGCTATATCTGGCCTGCCCTCTTGCCCTCACTGCCCTGATGTTTCTTTTGCTAGGCAGCTTTATTCCCAGTAAGGGTTTATTGGGTTTTCTCCTCAGGTTGAGTCATGTACTTCAAAGAAGAACGTATTTCTCTAGGTATGTTGCCTGCTTTATCTTCACAGAAGTCCCTCTGGATGTGCATCTTAACCAATACTTCAAATGTTTCTGTGCAGTTGGCCTGCTGGCCATAGTTTGAGTAACAATAACTTAAAAGATACAGAATCAGATATATCTTGGCTTGAGTCCTGTCTTCTTTAGTTGGGAAATACAGTCTTCCTCTATGTTTGGGAAGAAGGAACAGGATTGGTGAACATATAGCCAGTCTCTGTCACAGTCTGTCTTACTGACCACCCGATATCTATTCCACTCTTCCTGCCATATATGGAACACGGCCACCCTGTAGTGCACATGGAAACATGACATCCAGATTCCCTGGTAGAAACAGCCTCGTTTCTCTAGCTGCTGAAAGTGCTGTTAATACACTGCCTCTAGGTGTTAGCAATTTCAGTGTTTGCTTCAGCTGTCAAGAGCTGCCTGTACTTCCCACATCTATTAATGAATTGAGGTGTAGTTATAAAGGTCCAGCTATTTCAGGCTAACATGGGGGCAGCTCTGATGGGTCAACCAAGGTTTTGTTGAACCTGAAAGCAGTTTAACTTCTCCTTTCCTTCCCCTACCCTCCACAGGCATTGATCACTGGTAATACCTTGTATAGCAAACTCCTATCTCTCTATTTGCTTCCAGAACACCTGACTTGTGGAACATTTCCCCAAGACTCAAACCCATTCCTCACCGTGTCCAATTCAAAGTGCAGAGTATCTGGGTGATGTTTGCTTCTCTCACATCTGGGTCTAGCTATTCTTGGTTAAGTGACCTATGAACTGAAACAAGTTATCTGCCCCTGAGCTCCACACCCCGTACAGGAGCAGGAAGAGAATAACCACCATAAACATTGTTATATGGAAAGAGGAAGAATGGGAGACACACAGCAGTAACTGCTCTGTAATAATCCTGAAATCCTGCTGGCAGACATTGATTAGGCCAGGATCTTGTTTTATAGGAGGAGCTCCCTGGCCCGTTGCCTATCCTCTGGGAGGCCCTTCCTGTCCATTATTCTCTATGGCTGCATCTGAAGTCAGCCTTGGAGAGCACACTCTTCTAAGATCCTTCCAAGTCTGTGTCCAAATACTGTTTCAAGGCTCAAACAATAAACAAACAGTTCATTTTGTTTTGGTCCATGGTTTCTTTAGCAATAAGATTCTCTCAAAAACTTATCTGACTTCTATTTGGCTCCAATCAATTCTATGTGCCAGTAACCATAACCAAGGTTGTATCCTAGACACAGTTCTTGATTCTGTGATCATTTTAAAGTTCCCCGGAGTCATATGTTGAGACTCCACACCGTTAATCTAATCTTTGCCTTCAGTTACTTGATTAGATTGTGAAGTTTGTACAGTCCTTTACTACACAAAGCCTTCTTTAATCCCATCACACGCTTTCATGGGTCCCCCAACTTGAACTGTCTCCCACTATGGCATTGACCCACCAGTTTGTAATTATTTTTCTGTCTCTCTAGCAACCAGGATAGAGACAATCAGGTAAGTTATCTCTTGGTAAGTACTGCCTGAATTAATGAAATGTAGACTTTTCCAGCAATACTATATTGTTAACTATTTCAGGAATCGTTTTGGCTTCATGTGATTTATGTAGAGCAGCGATTTTAAATGGTTTTCAACTCATGGTACACAAACTACTAAAATTCTGCAGCACACCAAAAATATATATTATATTTTTTGCCTATCTGACAAAATAAATAGGTATAATTTTTATTCATTCACACAAAATGGCTATTGTTGTGTTGGTTGTTGTCATTTTTTAAATTTGACAATCTAAGGGAAAAGAGTTCTGTGCTCTTGACTACATAGTCAGGTATTGTATGTTTTAAAAATTCTTGCAGCACACCAGTTGAAAATAGATAATGTAGATAAATATTTTGGTAAATTTTGAGGCAACTGAAAAAAACAGTTAATTATCAATTTTTCATGTATAGTTCCTAAGCCAAGGGGAAGGATAATTAGGAGTTAATGAAGTTAGTAAAAAAAAAATGATCAGTTGCAAAAACTGGTTATTAAATGTCACCTGTAAGTTATTTGTAATGGACAGAGCAGGTTGAAGAAAAAAATAGAAAGTAGAGGAGACTTTTAAAAAGGGGGTTGCGCTCGGCTGGTGTGGCTCAGTGGTTGAGCAGTTGACCCATGCACCAAGAGGTCGCTGGTTCGATACCTGGTCAGGTCATATGCCCATGTTGTGGGCCAAATCCCCAGTTTGGGGGGGGGCATGCAGGAGGTGGACAATCAATGTTCTCTCTCATTGATGTTTCTATCTCTCTATTCCTCTTCCTTCCTCTCTCTCTAAAATCAATAAAGAAAAAAAAAAAGAAGTTGCATGGCCTTTCAGAGTTTTGATCCCAGGATCACTTTCCTTATAATTTTCCTTGAATTACTGATGTGCAGGTTGGTGTGGAACCTGATTGGTCCTGTTTCTTCCTCAGGTTCCCTCTCTCCTCCCCTCTCCTCATCCCACAACTTACGTGAGGCAGCAGAGGGTCCCCATTAGTGCTGTACTGACAAGAAAAGCAAAAATGGCTGCTGGAGGTATGGAGCTTTTGATAAGATCCCACAAATAATCCCTGAAGTTGCCCAGCCAGGACATGCGGTTTTCTGTAGGAAGAGTAAATGATGAATTTGTGATTTCAACCCTGGTTCAAGTTCAAATAGTTGTTCCAGATATAATGCTCTTACAGTTGTCTGGACCCACATCCTTATCTACTTTGCTTTGCTGCCTCTAAGATGTTCAAGGGGGTACACATTTTTTTTAAAAAGGTATCCTCACATGGATATAATCTTTGTAAGCTGTGTCCTAGATATCTTAAGGGCTAGTTTGAAGTCTTGGTGAGTAAACGAGGTACTTTGTGAAAGAGGAGCATGAATTAATAGATAATATGTTGTTGCCTTGAGTATGTTTGGGAGTTCTTGAGGAGACTGAGGGTAGTGAGTGTCTTAGAAAGAGATAGGAGAAGGCCACCAACTCCAGGAGCATCCAGAGGGGGAAGGGGACAGGGCAACTGGCAGAAGGAACTTTAGAAGGAGTCTGCTGATTAAGGTAAGGCTCGAGATATTGGGTGCTTTCTTTAGGAAGTGAACATTATTTTTAAATACAAAATCAGTATTTCTTGACCTGAGACATGCATGTTATGTCTTAGGAAGACAGGTTCATTCTAACAGCAAACACACCCCTTGAGCGTGGTTTCAATTCCACTTCGTCTTGTATTCCAAAGGCAAATAAAGGTGACTTAGAGGAAACTACAGTTTCTAAGAGGTAAATCAATGAGCACAGCAGAAATCCAATGCTCAGTAGCTTCTGGGGTTCCATGGACTCTCCTGAAGGCCACTCAGCTATATGTGTTCAGTCGAGGGAAGATGGATTTTTCCTTGGCTCTTTCCGAGGCAGCTTTGTCTGAAAAGCTATAAAATAGTGGGTTAGTTTTTATAGCAAAAAGCTTCTGGCCTGTCATGAACACAAGAATAATTCACCAGCTGACACTACTGAATCCTGAACATGGTCAGTTTCCAAAGTAAAATGCATCCCCCCTCCAAAAACCAAAATAACACAAAACAAAATGCTCTATTAGTCAGATACCTGACATTCTTTTCTATGCTAGAGCCCCCTTTAGGCTTCCCCAACTCAATTAGTAGAAATTATTTCAGTTGTTCAAGCCAAAACTTGTGTGTCTACTTTGACTCATTTCTTTCACTCCAACATCTTACTTATCAGAAAAGTCTGGTTTACTTTATCAACAAAGTACACTCATGATCTTGCCACTTATGACCACCTCCACTACTATCCACCATCATTTCTGTCTCTCTGCTTCCATCATCATCTTCCTTCAGACTTCTCCACTGAGCAGCCAAACAGATCTTGCCTTGTTGTAAGTCAGATGATGTCCTATTTACTTTCCCTGAATTCACATCCCATTATCTCCTCTTGATCACTGTAAATGAGCCTCATTTGCTCTGGAAAAAGCCAGATGTATTCCCACCCTGGGGCCTTTTCATTTGCTATTCTCTCTCGAAGTAAAGCATTCCCTCCAGATAATCTCATGACTCACTTTTTCACCTTCTTCAGGTGCTCAAATACCACTTTCTCCATGAGGATTTTCCTGAGAACAGCCCAAGTGTCCATCAATAGATGAGTGGATAAAAACCTTGTGGTACATATACACAATGGAACACTATGCAGCTGTAAGAAAGAAAGATCTCATATCCTTTGAGACGATATGGATGGACCAGGAGAGTATTATGCTAAGCAAAATAAGCCAATCAGAGAAAGACAAATACCACATGACCTCACTTATTTGTGGAATATAATGAACAAAAAAAAAGCTGATGAACAAAATAGACTCAGAGACATAGAAAGGAGTATGCTTCAGACTGAGAAACCTCAGAGGAGGGAGGCAGAGTGGAAGGATGAGATAAACCAAAAAACTTATATACATGTATACGTTAACCAGTGGACATAGACAACAATCTTTGGGGGATGGGGGCGGGATAGGGAGGAGGGTGTCTGCGAGGAAAAAGGAGAAACATTTGAAACAAAATAAATTAATTAATAAAAGAGAGTAAAAAAAAAGTGGTTTTACCACTCTCGACATCAAAATTACAACTAAACTACAGAACAACCGTCATTCAGAACTGCCTGGAATCACTTTGAATGGAAGTCCTACAACTAGATAATTAAAAAAGAAGTGACATGGAGAATGGTAGGAGTGGAGATGCAGAGCAAGCTGGTCCCACACCCATGTGTGTTAGATAAAAATTGGAGGGATATCTCAACAATGGAGGTCTCCACTGTTGAGGAGTGAGGGTCCCAATCCCACACCAGGCCTCCAGCTCAGGGCTCCAGTGCTGAGAAGAGAAGTCCCCATAACTTCTGGCTATAAAAACCAGTGGAGATTGAGGCTGAGGGAGATAGAGGCTCTGGAGTCCCAGGCAGCTCTCTTAAAGAGCCACACAGTGACTAACTGGGACTCACTCCCTCTGAGCTCCAGAGTGGGGGCAGTAGCTTGAAATATGGGAGGAACTGAATTGTCTGGCATCAGGGCAAGAGCTGGAAGGGCAACTTTCTCCTAGACAGAAGTACTGGCAGAGGCCATTGTTCCTTTGATGAGCCCTTCCCCCACAGAGCCGGCACCTGAGACTCCATCAACCCTGCTCACACTGTTTGGCCTGCCTTGGTGATTCCCAGAGCCCCCTTCCCCCAAATTTCGGTCCCTCAAGCTGTTTCCAGTGGCTTTTCCATATGAATGGCCTGTCTTGGCTCATGCTTCTGATTTTCCTAAAATCTCTCAAACAAGCAACATCTGGCCTCAGCATGCCTCATACCTCTCTCTAAGTGGCCCTAGCCCTGGTACTAGCAGCAGCAAGCCTTGGTTTGCAGGTTGGCCTCTCCTGGGCCCTCCAAGCCCAGCACAAGTAGCAGCCATCTGAAGATCACTTTGTAGCTCATGCTAGGTGGCCCCAGTCAAAACACAGACAATAGCTGATTTTGGCCTGCACCTCTCAGGAGATCCCAGAGCCAGCACAAACAGTGGACAGCTTTAGGCCAAAACCAAGCATCACCACCCAATCAACTCCACAAGTGATTCAAGGGGACGACTCAGTGAGCACCAGAGCCCCACTGAAGTAAGTCCTCCTCTGTGAGGTAGGACCTTGCACAGCTAATCCTCCACAGTGGTAGATGGTCAGAAGTTAGTGGTTTGTGGTCATAGCCAGTCTTTGCAGCTGATCAACCTGGGAGTAAATCCCTCCCATTGATGTGCCAACAGCAATCAAGACTCAACTATAAGAGGAAGGTAGTTGTACACAGCCCATATAGTGGGGGGCAGACCTCGATGACCCAGCTTGGGTGGTCGGGAAGGCTGTGCCACTGGACCTTACAGTACCCTACTACATTAGGCCACTTTATCAAGTCTAGGAGATGTAGCAGCGCAACCTAAAGCATAGAACCAAACACAAGAAGGCTGCCAACATGAGGAAACAAAGAAACATATCCCAAATGAAAGAACAGAACAAAACTTCAGAAAAAGAATTAAGCAAAATGGAGATAAACAGTCAAACAGATGCAGAGTTCTAAACACTGGTTATAAAGATATTCAATTAACTTAATGAGAAACTCAACAGCATAAAAAAGGATCTGTTAGAAATGAAGGATACATTAACTGAAATGAGGAATAATTTATAGGGAATCAACAATAGAGTAGATGAAGCTGGGAATCAAATCACCTATTTGAAACACAAAGAAGCAAACAATCAGAATAGCAAGAAAAAAAATTCAAAATTTAAGTGTACCAATATTCACATCATAGGTGGCTGGAAGGAGAAGAGAGACAACAAAAAATTGAAAACCTATTTGAACAAGTTCAAGAAGACTGAAGTTATATAAAGCATATTCTCAGATCACAATGGCATGAAACTAGAAATCAATTACAACAAAAACATGCAAAAACATTCAAACACATGGAGGCTAAATAGCATGTTATTAAACAAAGAATGGGTTACCAAGGAGATCAAGGAAGAAATAAAATAACTTCCTAGAAACCAATAAAAATGAACACACAACACAAAATCTATGAGACCCAGCAAAAGCAGTCCTGAGGAAGTGCATAGCACTACAGGCCTACCTCAGGAAACAAGAAAAAATTATAATTGACTTTCTAACCCTACAACTTAAAGAATTAGAAATGGAGCAAAAAGAAAAACCCAGAGCATGTAGAAGGAAAAAAATAGCAAAGGTCAGAGCAGAAATAAACAATGTAGAGACAAAAAAAAAAAAATCAAAAGATCAATAAAACAAATAGCTGGTTCTTTGAAAAGATAAACAAGATTAATGAAACCTTCACCAGTCTCACCAAGAAACAAAGAGAGAGGACCCAAATAAACAAAATCAGAAATCAGAGAGGGGAAATAACAACTGACACCACAGAAATACAAAGAATTATTAAAAAATACTATGAACAATTATATGCAGAAAAATTGGACAATCTAGGCAAAATGGACAAATTTCTAGAAACACAGAGTCTCCCAAAACTGAACTGCAAAGAGATAGAAAAGTTGAACAGACCAATAACAACTAAGGGAATTAAAGATGTAATAAAAAAAACTCCCAGCAAACAAAAGCCCAAGTCCAGAGGCTTCATGGGGGAGTTTTATCAAACATTCAAAGAAGATCTAACACCAATTCTCCTCAAACTATTCCAAAAAATTCAAAAAGAAGGAAGACATTAAAACTCATTTTATGAGGACAGCATAATTCTAATTCTAAAACCACAAAAAAAGAAAACTACAGGCCAATCTTTCCGATGAACATAGATGCCAAAATCTTTAACAAAATATTAGCAAATCAGATCCAGCAATATATTTAAAAAATTATGCATCATGATCAAGTGGGGTTCATCTCAGGGATGCAAGGCTGGTACAGTATTTGCAAATCAATAAATGTGATACACCACATAAATAAAATGAAAGATAAAAACCATATGATCATATCAATAGACACTGAAAAAGCATTCAACAGAATCCAGACCCATTTCTGATAAAAATGCTCAGCAATGTGGGAATAGAAGGATCATATCTCGACATAATAAAGGCCATATATGAAAAACCAACAGCCAACATCATACTCAGTGGGCAAAAACTAAATGCATTTCCCTTAAGAACAGGAATAAGACAGGGATGCCCACTTTTGCCACTCTTATTTAACATAGTCTTGGAAGTCTTAGCCACAGAAATTAGACAAAAAGGAAAAATAAAAGAGATCTAAATTGGAAAGGAGGAAGTGAAACTGTCATTATTTGTAGATAACATGATATTGTACATAGAAAACACTAAAGACTTCATCAAAAGTCTACTAGATCTAATAAATGAATTTGGCAAAGTAGCAGGATATAAAATTAACTTCAAGAAATTGACAGCCAGCCCAGGACCCAAACCCTCAGGGGCACGCAGCGAGCCCAGGACCCAAGCCCGCGGTGGTGAGTGGGTCAGCCCAAGCCCCAGGCTCCAGGTCTACAGCAGTGCATCAGCAAAGACTGATCAAGAGCAGTGCCCCAGACCAAGCAGCAGTGAATCTCTAGGACCTGAGACCTGCACGACAGACCAATTCCAGCTGTCAGGTGCCAACCCTCCAGGATCCACAGCAAAGGCCATACACTAAAACAGGCTGGGAGGCACAGCAGCCTTAATTGATACACACTGACCTGCCTACACATTCTAACATCCCTCACCAGGCTTAGAACTACCAGATTGCTAAAATGGTGAGACAAAGAAATACCACCCAAATGAAAAAAAAAAAAAAAAAAAGAGAGGAATAACCAG